AGTTATATTAATATGATAATTTCCATCCCACCTCTCAGGTTTTTAGTATATCACACATAATGAATCGTTCCTCTCAGGTTACTTTTTAAGTGACACTCCCTATATGAGCCTTTGAGTAGCCCAATAAATTTCATCTACATCTTTCATCTCACCACACCCTTAGGAAAACCTGACAAAAGATACAAGTCATCTGATCCAGGATCAGCAAAAATAGTGATACAAAATCTCACTTTGCCTGAAAGTTTTTGTCTTTAAGGTACAATGCCATTGATATGTAAAAAGAAATGAATACGATTCTCAGAAATCCATGATAAAACTGGTCTGGTGCACATAAAGGACAACAATCCCGTTTTACACTCTTGATGGGATCACCTAAAAAGAAAATTAAGTCATAAATTACTCACCCTGGTGTTGTTCTAATGGCTTTTTTGTGTATGTCCTTTCTTCTTTTATGGACCAAAAAAAAAAAAGTCCTGCTCACACTCATCCATATAATGGCAGTGAAGGGCAACCAGCATCAAGCTTTTTAAAAAAGATGGAAAAGTATGACAGAATGATCCCATTTGACACATGTTGTATATTACAAGTTTTCTGGGGGTATATTATATGAAATTTAATGTACCTGTAGTATTTAACGAATATCCCGAGTGACCTTGGTCATTGGTCTTTAGTGTATGGCTAATGTTACACGAACGGGCACTTTGCAAAGCCGTGCAATGAAAACGAAAAACCAATGTCAGGATTTCTGTTAAATGCATACTTTTTGAAAAAGCTTGACCCTGCTCACCATTCACTTCCATTGTATGAACGAGTGCGAGCAGGACATAACATTTTTTTTTTTAAATCTCCTTCTGTGGTCTATAATAGAAAGAAGGGTATATAGAATTAGAACAACAACAGGGTGAGTGAATGGTGACTTATTAATTTTCATTTTAGTATGAATGATCCCTTTAAGATGGTTCCCCAAATAACTGACTGAACAGTTTTTAAAGAACAATTTCTCCTTAGTGTGAAGAATATTATAATAATCTAAAGAACCACTTTTCCCACCATAAAGAACCTTTTGTGCAATGGAAAGTTTCCATTGATGTTAAATGTTCTTTATGGAAGTAGACATGATCTCATACTGTAACTTAATGAACTTTCAAAACAAATCTTGCAAATGTCGAGAATCGAGATCATTGGTCAATGTTTCTAATGATATACAAGTAATTCATATTTACTATTACCAGTTCAAATAACACAGTCTCATCCCAAAAAGTCATATAACTGACGTTTTGGGACGTATTTTGACCATACGTCAATATCCGCCTTTTTAGGGCCCCCTTAAACGTCGGTAGATGGCGATCCCGGACCGTCATACAACTGACGCTTTACCTTTAACGTCAGTTAGGTTTAGGGTTAGGTTTAGGGTTAGGTTTAGTTATGGGGTAGAGTTAGGATCCCATAACCTCATCTACCGACGTTTAAGGGGGCCCTAAAAAGGCGAATATTGACGTATGGTCAAAAGACGTCCCAAAACGTCAGTTATATGACGTCTTGGGATGAGACCGGGTTGGTTCAAACATGCAGATAAAAATACAGAAGCCAATTATACCTCTCATAATAACGAATGATGACAGATATGTAGTCACTATTGTCCGAGTCTTCCCTCAAAGAAAGAAAGTTGTGAATAAAGTTTGAAAGCTAATTAATCAGCATTCAGAACATGATACCATCGCTGGTATATGCTGTGGTTGCTAATTGGTATTGGCAGCCCAAAGCCTGTGCTCTTAGATCAGCTGAGCTAATCATCTCTGACAGCCATGAGGTGATTCTGTGAGGAATCCTGCTCCTGAGGTCAAAGTTCACCGCTGAATCAATGGTCACCAGCACAGCAGTGGATAAAAACAGCATCTTTGTTGTTGTTTCTCTTATCTATGGCTCATCAGTGTGTAAGATGAGTGAAAATAACCCACAACATAATGATGTGGCTTCATTTGATTTAGGTGGGTGAGTTTTCCCTTTCCTTCATCAGGAAGCCTCGAAGAAGAGAGTGATGAATTACAGCTGATTATGAACAGCGCTGTGCTGTCCATGAATGACAAATCATCATATTCATAATTAATCTTATTGATTGACATTATTCTCTTGCTGGAACAGAAGTTCAGGCACTGAAATGAAATTAGACAACTGCAGTCGGATTAGATGTTCTCAGATGAGCAGGGTAAGCTAACCTCTTGGACACATGACCAGTTTAATGCCTGTCAGTAATACTGTTCTAAATTTATGCAAACATAAACTCTGCAAACAGTCTAAGACATGACTGGCCTTTTAAAAAATAAAGGATAAATATCAGATCGATCCGTCTCTACTGCTTTTAAGTGGAATTTTCCTACAGAGTAGAAAGTGATCAGTTGACTTAATAGTGAGGAAATCAGTTGCCTTAAAATTATTAAGTAATAAACCTCATGTGTAATTGACAAAATGAAGTTATGTGAACTTGACAATTCAAAATAATTTTTTTTTTTTCAATTACGCATGACGTTTATTTACTTAACAATTTTAAGGCAATGGGTTTCTTCACCTTTTTTAAAAACTCTTGCTGATAATTTACTCACCCCCAATGTCATCCAAGATATCCATTTCATTCTTTCTTTAGTCGAAAAGAAAATAAGGTTTTTGATGAAAACATTCCAGGATTTTCTCCATATAATGCACTTTTTATAAGCTCAAATGGTCACTATGCTCTGTGATAAGCGTTCGTGACTCTCCTGTTCAAACTCGTTGATCAAAATGAACGAATCTTTTTCCCATTTGAGCTTATAAAACTTAAACTGTTTTATTTTTTTTTTTAAATGAGCGATCGTTTTGCTTGATAAGACCCTTATTCATCATCTGGAATCGTTTAAAGCCCTTTGAACAGTTTGCACTGAAAGTGTCTTTTGGACCTTGAACCATTTGGTTACCAGTATATATGGGGAAAAATCCTGGAATGTTTTCATCAAAAACCTTAATTTCTTTTCGACTGAAGAAAGAAAGACGTGGACATCTTGGATGGCATGGGGGTGAGTAAATTCAACACTGGGTTGGTAAATTATCAGCAAAAGTTTTTTTTAAAGTGAACTCCTTTAAATCAACCAATCACTTTTTACAGTAGTGCAACTTAAAGTTTAACAAGAGAAATTACATGGCCTGGTTTCACAGACAGGACGTAGATTATGGCAGGAAAAGTCCTTTCAGGAAAAAGTAAAAGTAAAATTAAACATCAACGTGCCTTAGAAACACTGACATATATTACAATGGAACTGCTGTAATTGTTATATGGATTGAGACTTTAATGCATTTGATTGTTTTTAAAGTAAAAAATGGAATTTAACAAACAATACTTTTGGCTCCATTACACACTGGCCTCACAAAACTCTTTGTCTACCTGTCCTGAACTTGAATTGATGGTCTCCCTGACTTTATAGTACCTACATTGATTGTGAAGGTGCTTGTCAGTGATGCATAAAATTAACACTGTGTTATAGGGCATGGATTTCTGTCAGGCCCTGACAAGATAACCCATTATTGGACGACGCTGCTAATTTGTTTTTGTTTATTCCGAAGTGTAATGTAACACTCCTTGAGCCTCAATGATAACTCTATTACCTGCAAATCCCAGGAAAAACCATTGACAGACACTAATCTTGGCCCGACTCCTAATTACATCAGGTTCTTGGGTCTTAATGAAGCGATCTTTACTCCATTTTAGCTGCTTAATGCTGCACACACCCCTGGCATCATTAGTTTAATTGCCTGCGTTTGCAGTGCGGGATTTTGACCTTTGTCCAGCCGAGTCAACTTTTTTCTGCCCCGGTCTTTTTCCATTTGGTCTTTGTGGTTACTGTGGAAACGAATTGCTGATATTCGCTCTATAATGCAGACCAGCTGTTCTTTTAAATTCAGGACCATCTGCTGTTTCCACTCAATCTCATTATGTTTTAATATGAACATAATGAGATTGAAGGCCGTCTTGCGCTTTAAACATCTCGTCGATTAATGAACACTTGTTGCTCATTTCGTCTTTTGAGTGGACAACTTTTTAACACAATCATTTGTCAGTAAACATGGGCTGATCAACAATATGCTATCGTTAGTAGGCCAAGCTAAAATAAATAAAGTGTGGATTTTGTCAAGTTCATGTTGAAATCATTCATGTTTAAAGCTTTAGATAAAAGCTTCTGCCAACATATGCAGTACTGTTCAAAAGTTTGGGGTCACACTTTATTTTAGTGTCCTTGTTACATATGTTACATGTACTTACCATAGTAATAACAGTCAATTTTGCATAATTACATGCAACTAACCCTCAACCAAATCCTAATCCCACCCTAACCCTATAGTAAATACGTGTAGTTGCTTAATGTTACTACTACACTGTAACAGACACCTTTATTTTAAGGTGTCATTACAGTGTAATTATATATTTAAGTACTGAGTAATAATAATTAACTACATGTTTTTACTATAGGGTTAGGGTAGGATTAGGATTTGGTTTAAAGTTAGTTGCATGTAATTATGCAAAATTTACTGTTATTACTATGGTAAGTACTTGTAACGTGAAACAATGACACTGTAAAATAAAATGTTACCAAATAAAGTGACACCAAAATTAATATTTTTATTCAGCGAGGACAGATTAAATTGATCAAAAGACATTCAGTAAAGACATTCATAATGTTACACAAATATTTCAAACCGCCATTATTTTGAAATTTTAATTATAATATTTCCCAATATTACTGATTTTACTGTATTTTTGATAAAATAAATGCAGCCTTCATGAACATAAGAGATTTAAAAAGACAAGATTTTCTGACCCCAAAGTGTAAATAGGCACCTCCGTTTTTTTTTGTTCAGCTTTGTTTCCCTCTACAAAAATTAAGACCAATATTAAATTTTAAACCAGTATTAGACTTTTTTTTTTCCAACAAGACTAATAATTACAGCAATTATAAGAAAAACTCAACAGGACATTCAAGTGGAAAGCAGTACTTTATTTCTAATTATGCTACAAGTCAATGGCAAAACAAACAAACAAAACAAAAAAAATCTTTCACCAGTTTTTTTTCTTCTTTTTTTAACCCCTGAGCACCACAATCCAGCTTTCCCATAATGCACTGGATTTATCCAAAGTGAATAAAAGGAAAATAAGCTTCATACACAGCGTATAATAGGATCTAAAATCTACCAGCATAGCATCGTTGACATAGCTAAACAAGGTAAACAACATGTTATTCTTTAAGCACATGAGTGAATCATTTTTTCTTAACCTTTATTAAAATGATAGTCTTTTTATGAAGAAATGTTCGTCATCAGTAAGCCCGTGAGCGTGGTTTCGTAAAAGCTTTGGTTATGGAATCACTCTGATTCATGTTTTTGCATCACAGTCAGCAAGCACTCCAGAGTTCGTCCAGGATTTGCTCTAGAAATAAGAGCAGTCTCTTCATATGCTGATCAAGAGGTAAATTACATTGAACAACAGGAATCAGACAATTGTGCATTGATTGTGCCCTCTGTAATTCCACATAAATATAAACTATATATTTCCATTAATCCTTTGCACCTATCCAACAACAAAATGATGGTCAGGTGTTTTCATTAATCGATAGTTGTGCTAAACTCTGGAAACTGCTATTACATTCTTAGATTGCCATTTGTGCACTGAGACTAATTGAATATACAGCTTGGCTTTTTTTTTTTTTTGTTTGAGAACATTTTGATCCAAGAGGATAAAATCAAGTTTTGCTACAGCAGGATCAAATGAAACCATTTTCTGCTGTTTGAGATTCAAAGTTGGGAATGACAGTATTGGTTGAAAATTGTCAACCCAACAACATTGTCACATCTTTGGTATTTGTAAAAATAAGTCATGTTCTAAGCATGTCTCCACATTCAAATAAAGAGAGTGTGAAAGAAAATAATGGATTTTTTTTTTTTTTTTTTTAGTTAGTTTTGGTTTAGATTAGGTTATATATTTTTTGAAAGCCACATTATGTTGTGAACAGAAATGATGACAAAAACACTGGCATCAATGGAAATGCTGCAAACCGTGAACTAAAACACTTAGTTAAATGCTAAAGGTTGCAGCTTATTCAAATTCATACTATAAAGAAGAACCTCGGTCAGATCAATGTTTGAATTGATTTGAGCAGTTGTACATAAAATAGAATCCTTCTGTTTTTTTTTTTTATTTCCCTCCGTGCATAAAAAATGCCACTGACATGAACGAACAAGCAAAGCAAATGACGCTGTGTTGAGCCCAGTGTGGTCCAGCCTCTGGTTTTGCAGCACAATCCACACAGGCAAAAGCGAATTTGGACCAGAAAGGCTATGAGTAAAAACTGGCTGCTGTGAATATGTTGTTGGCACAGTCTATAACAAATGAGGTAGATGTGTGTTCATTATATATTTCCCTTCTTTGGTAAAACAATACAAAATAGAAAAAAAAAAGAATCCAGTGATTTGTTGAGAAAAAAAAAAACACATCAATTTTCAAGTGGCTTCACAATAAAAATAATAGAAATTAAATAAATGAGGTATATTTTGTTTTCATAATCTATTATCTGTGTACAGGTTTGCAGGATTTGTGAGGTATTAGGCTGTAATATGACTTTTTTTTTCTTTAAATAAATGTCATGTTGCCAAAAGCACTGAAACAGCCCAAGATGAAACATGAAAGGAAGTAATAAATACAACTCGAAGTTTTCTACTGAATTCTAAATAAAATGACACAATAAAATCCTCCCATTTCCTTATCAACAGAAAAGAGAAGAAAAAGAAATAAAAAAGTGAGCAAAAAACAAAAGGAGAACGGAATAAAGGACGAGAGGTGAACTCTCAAATGCAAGTGCATTGTTGAAAACTTGATGAAAATTGGATTCTATTCACAACAGAGATCCCACCTCAACTGATGCCTAAGATGAGCAACATCCAGCCTGTTCACGGCACATAATCTGCTTCTAAAGAGCCTCTGTTTTCTGGTTTAAGTACTCAAACATTTTTTATGATCAACGTTCAGCTCATAGTCACATGCCTAAAACCTGCATTTAACCAGTGTGACCCGTTTTTCCATCTACTAAACCATTTAATAAACACTTAAAACACTTTGCTATAAAACCCAAGCTGAGGTGGTGGAAAATCATTAAACATTGTCGACAAGTGTTCCCCAAATAACTCACTGATCAATAGAATATATTTCGCCACGGCCACAGGCCAAAACCAGTCATGAGAGAATAAAGTAGACTTAATCCTGTCGGCTTTCTTCAATATCAAGCTATACATGGCTGATCTTCCACATACGGCCATTTAAAGATTGTTTTTTCTTTCCTAACATAAACTTAAGCATTGATACAGTAAATAACTTTTCTCCCTGACAATTTGTATTCAAGTTAAATGGGATGTGCTTTGCTTAAAATCATTATGGTGACTTTCCATTGCTTTTTTCTGATAGTTTGCAATGGCATTTGATATATGTGTGATGGTTGTGATAAAACGGCATTCATCTAATAGGTTGCTCTTATTCTCTTTGGTAATAGCTGATAATAGCTCTTGCTGTTTAATTCAAGACTGCGATGAGTAAAGATGAAGAGGAAGGACTCCTGTGCCAAAAATGAAGGATCTGTGTAGAAGAGGGAAGAATCTTGCTTTGATGCAACATTCAAGCAGGCCAGCGCTCAGTCTGAGGAACATCCCATCCCCTCGAGCGTCACACCGCTCCTTGTGTTCATGGCATTGTCACGCAATACGTTTTAGTCACTCCACAATGAATAACACGTCCTCAGAAGAATAAAATTACAAGCTGCAACTTGCTGCATATGTAAATGTAACACATTTCAAATGTGCGGCTATCAGCTATAGGTGCTCAGCCTTTGATTTGAATGGAAGTTTTTTCGGTGATGGACACTCCTTGTCCTGATTGCAGGGGGAGGGTTAGAAAAACAGTAAAAAGTGTACATTGTACATTGAAGGAGACAAAAAAACTGGTCCAACAGTATGACCTAAAGACCCTGCCTTATCTGATGTCGGGGGAGAGTTGAGCGAGAGAGGTGTTGTGGGCTCAAGGGGAGGTGGCTGGTCCGTGTGAGGAGGCGGTGGAGGACGAGGAGGAGGACGGCTGCATCTGGGTGCTGAGCCCTGGGCTGCTGCTCTTTCCCTGAGAGCTGTGTTGGTGATGGACTCGCTGGCTGCCTGGCATGAAACCAATGGCTGGCTTACGGGCAAACAAGACCCCTGGAGTCAGCAGACAAATATTTAGTTCAAGTTAGAGTCAAGGAATATAAACACCAACACCACCCTTACATAACATAACACAACACATCACATAACACATCATAACACATCAGAAGTTCACTTACTGGAGCAACGTGTTGTTGTTTTTAAAATGCATCACAGATATATATATGAAGAGTTCAGATGCAAAAGCCTCTAAATGCCATTTGAAATTTTCTTCTTTAATGATGATTTTTATCAAACTTGTATATTTAAGTTCAGTGATTTCACTTAAATGGCAATGATAATTACCTATTAATTGTTATTTAAGTGAAATTACTGAACTTAAATATACAAGTTTGATAAAAATCATCATTAAAGAAGAAAAGTTCAAATGGCATTTAGAGGCTTTTGCATCTGAACTAAAAAAAATTTTTTATTACTAATATTTTCATGCAATAATAGAAACTACATGTATAAGTCAAAAAACGTTCATTTAAAACATTTGATTTGTATGTGGTCCATCATTCTTACAAAAAAAAAAAAAAACAAAAAAAACGACAACACCCCCTTGCTCAATCTGTTTCTATATTATCTATGTACATTGAAGTATCTCATTTTTGGCTTAAATCTATATGAAAAAATCTACAGATGCTCACTAAAGAAAAGATAAGATATTAAAAAAAAAATGAGGACAATTAATTTAACATTTTATTTAATTACATGACATGGTACATGAATTTATGCTATCTGAATTAATCACTTAATTGCATAAATCAACATGTTCTGAGAATATGTGCCCAAACTAAGATAATTTCAGATATTATTATGGCAGGCAAGTAAATTATGGAATAGACATTACAAAAAGCGGCTTTAATATTTTAATTTTATGCCTCTGAACATAAACTTGTCACTGGCATTCCGCGTTTTTAACTGAGTTTGTCAATCTGTCAGAAGTAAACTACCGTTCTGTTAACACAGGCCTATGTAAACGTCACATCTTTGTTCAGTGTTATGCACCACGACAGCAAGATTTAAAAAAAATATATAATATAATTTTTACTTGTAAATTGGTTACATTTTTAGCCCTAGAAAAATCTTTTAGCTGTATGTTCAAGCGCTGTACATCATTACAGAGAACAAACCTTCAGTAAAAAAACGGACGCCACTTCAACTTGATCTCCCGAACTGTTCCCTGCAAGCTTATGAGCCATCTTGTGGTAATTACTGTCTCTCACACATCAGGCACAAGCACTGTATCTAGCTAAGGCGGAGGGCCTTTCTCTCGGGCACGAAAGACAATAAGCTCCATCGACCTCCTGGCGCCCAGGCCCAATTTTAAGATATTTAACTTTTTTAACTCTATTGGACTTGCCACTTCATTACGATGGATTTTATAGCAAAGACATCAAATTGTGTGGAGGACTGAGCGAGGGGGTGCTGCTATAACTTATTGAATTTCCTGCCTGCAATTACATCAGCAAACGGCGCTCTATTTACCTGTGTAGACAACCCCATTTATTTCTATTGACATGTTGATGCTGCTAATGCCGTTGGTAGACAGGTTCAATGCAGTCTCTTGTCTATCATCTGTCAAGAGAGGAGCCAGAGAGCGAGGAAGAGAAAAACTCAATATGAGCATTTATAAAAGGAACACAAGAAGCAAGAGAAGCGTGCCACCAACTATCGGTGATAACTCATGAGTGACAGGATAAGGAGGGGTTTATTAAAAGAGTTTAAGGAGGGGAGGGAGGTGATAACTGTCAAAAAGATGGGGCTTTCACTTCTCTAGATAGGGAACAGCACAAAATGTCTGAGCCATGAACATTTCTTCACTGCGATCAAACATTACACAAAGTATTCAAAAGAAATAAATTAAAAGGATAATTCTCCCTAAAATGAACGTTCTTCTCAACATTTTCTCACCCTCGTTCCCAACTCACAAGACTTTTGTTCACCATCAAAACACAAATGAAGATATTTAATGAAATCTGAGATTTCCATCCCTCCATCGAAAGTCTATTCACCTAAAACTCTGCTTCAAACATTCATAAAGAGATCCATTTGAATCAAGTGGTTTCTTCCAAGTCTTCTGAAGAGACATGAACATTTTACATGATGAATAGATTTAATTTATTATTTTATTCACATAAAAAGATTGATCAGCAAACATAAACAGAAGCTAAACCTTACTTGTTTGACACACGAGAATGAACCTCGATGGTTCTTGCAGAAGCTCAAACGTGCTGCGTAACATGACAATGAACCCTCATTGGTTCTTGCACATCAAGCAAGAATCATTGAGCTTCAGTTTAGCAAATTTTAATGCTCTATGATTGATTTTACAATCTCTTTACAAACGTTTTGAAGCATAAGAGTTTTAAGTAAATAGACTATCAATGGAGAGACAGAAAAATATCTTCATCTGTGTCCTGATGATGAACAAAAGTCTTATGGGTTTGAAACAACATGAGGTTGAGCAAATGACAGAATTTTCATGTTCATGTTAACCATCCCCTTAAAGTAGAAGACCATTAGATACATTTTTGGAGTAAAAAAAGGGGTTAAATCACATTCCTATTTCCAAAAAGTTAGCATCTGTCAGGACTTTCAGTTTTTACTCTGTCATTACTTTGAATACTTGTGTGAAGGTTACACAAAATAACATTTAATATAATCTTTAAATTGCAGAGTAATTCTGTATGAAAGTCCTGCTCAGCAGAACTGAACTGTGCTACATTGTCCCACCATAAAACGAGGCTTTTGATTTTGTGGGTGGTATAAGAGTAACAGTCACGTAGAAGACAACACAACATTACTCATGACCAGCCTGCAATCATGACACACTGTCATTAAGTGATGAAGGTGCACTGAATACATTAACATCAGACAAAAGGCCCGACAGAAATCACTTTTCTTCATCAGTAAAAGTTCACCATTTATTCACACCTAATTAAATAGATGTTTATTTTTTGAGAATGTCTCAAACTCTTATCATTCTTTTTGACAGGGGGGGACACCTTATCATAGTGTCATAAAACAAAATAAAATGAGTCATTCATAAACAGTTATTCATGAATAAAATGTTTTTCATAAATTCCTTCAGTATTGTTTTGAGAACGTCTCAAAAAAATCAAATAAAAATGTGTCATTATTATTATATAAAGTGTTATTCATTAATTACTTCAGTTTGGTGAGGGAAAATTGGAAGGTTAATGTTTTGTCATGCTATGTGTGGCAGCTGCAGGTTATTTGTGATCCTTACTCAGCCTAGAGTAAATAAACTCCTCTGCCCTAATCTACATTATTTGACCCATAATGCTCTCTCTCGTCTCACTATTGACTCAGTCCACAGTATTTTATGGGTCACTCTAGGAAAATACTTCAGCTTACTGCCATTTATATTATATTTGCACACAAGTTTGAGTATTACTTTTTTTGGAGGCTAAATAAAAATAAAGAGATTTTTTGTAAAAACACATACAGGGCAAAAATATGTGAGAACCGTTTTTGCATTCCTTGCCCCCACCTCTGTTGTTCAGTTTGATGTTCATGGGTAGCTGGGTTGCCATGGCGAACAGATTTTGCTGCAAAGCATGCTGCATTATCCTCTGCTGCTCCTCTGCCATGAGCATCACTTTCTTCTCCGGTGGCTCTCCGGACTCCAGCTTCTCCCGTAGCTGCTCCAACGTGGCCGCCTGTACAGCTGCTGCAGCTGCAGCCTGAGCCGCTGCAGCCTGGGCCGCACTGTGGTGGCTGGCCAAAGACACAGGGATGCCCACCCTGTTAGTCAGGCAGCTGGACAGCATTGAGTCCTCTGTGGAGCAAGATAGCATAATGAAGTGATTGTATATGTGACTATAAGAATATATACTTCTAAAATATTTTCAGGTGGCAGAACACTTTAACAGTAAACCAAAAATAGTGGACCACCCAGTGGGGGAAATAAGTATTTGATCCCCTGCTGTTTGTGTAAGTTTGCCCACTTACAAAGAAATTAAGGGTCTATTATTTTTATGGTAGGTTTATTTTAATGAATAGAGATTCATTACCATTACACGAGAGTAGATGTTAAAACTTCATGCTGATTTGTACTCGGCTTTCCTATGCTTCTCTATCCATTTACACCGAGTAGGGGACATCTCTAGGGTCTTCAAGTGGGCACCTTCTGTCCTCAGTGTTTCGTCGACAAGCCCACGACACCTCAAGAGGGCTCGACAGACGTCACTCCCCTCCGTCACCCACTCAACTCAGCCCAGCTTACTGACCTCTACATCACTCCTGCTGCTGAGGTTGCTCCTTCCTCGTAGTTCACATGTGACCAAACCACAATATCTCCACAACCCAACCATACGCGCCAACCCGTTTGACTAAGGCTGTAGAGCCCCACTGTCTTCGTTAAAGGGATAGTTCACCCAAAAATGAAAATTAAGTCATTAATTACTCACCCCCATGCTGTACCAACCTTGTAAGACCTTCATTCATCTTCGGAGCACAAATGAAGATATTTTTATTAAATCTGAGAGGTAGATCACTGCTACATAGGGGATTGAAACTTGACGGCCCAGAAAATCATTGAAGAAAATGTTTAAATATTCCATGTGACTATGGCTCAACTATACAGTAAGTTTATCAAGCGGTGAGAATACTTTTTGTGCGGAAATAAAACAAAAATAACGACTTTATTCGACTATTCCTTTTCTTCCTTGTGGGCCATAGTTCAAGAGATTTCCACGACACATGTGCGAGAACTGAACAAGAATTCTCGCGCATGCGTCGTGTAAATCTCTTGAACTCTCAAACCTACTGAACCTATGAAAGTAGGTTCAGTGGCAACGGTTCAGTATGGCATACTACCTACGCAAAACACAATATCTGCCCAAACACCAACCCTCATTCACGCAATATACACAGGAATGTAATAACTGTAATTACTATGCAAACTATACAAATAAACCAACAGACTCTTCAAGTTTATCAAAATCTCAGGTGGAAAAATAAGCCTTTGATCAAGATCAGCCAGTATTTCCAGTCCCTAGCAGCTTCCAGTTGTCCTGGGCGAGAATTAAGAGCTTTTCTTGGAGGTTGCCTGGGTGGAGGAATATTGTCTTCTGTGTGTAATTTTTTGCTAGAACAGGTGGCAACTTATTGGTCATGTTGTGCTTGCCTTTCAATGCTAAAGCCAAACATCGCAGTAATTGGTCATGGCGCCAAGTAAACTGGCCTTGGCTAAGAGCCACCTTATATGAAACTGAAAACTGATGCTTGTAGCATCTTTTTCTTTAGGTACAAAGACTCCACCAGCTCTGTGCCATGCTCTTGGTACAACCTGTCCTGTCCTGTACACACTGTATGGAACTCCAGTAGGCCCTGGAGATGATAAAGCCCTTCCCTTTCTCACAGCCTGCTCTGCCTCTTTCCACTTTGGTGCACAGACCTCCATTTGGTATTCTGGTGGATTGATAGGTCGGATGTCTGATGGATTTGATTTAGGCTCAAGCCTCTTTGCATCTGTATGCGTTTCCTCCAAATCTCTTTAACTCAACCCCAGATGCTTTTAAAATTATGAAACTAACCCTTGAATTTTCTGCTGCTATCTAGACATTACACCAAACTTCTCACTTGCATATGCGTAAATGATGTCCCCAAATTTATCCAGGTTCTTTTCAACTGTACCAGTTAATCTTTCCAATGCAAAGCATCGATCGGTGTTTACTCTGTCCCATGCTGTTTTCTCACAAGCTCTTGGCCATCTAACTCCAGGCCTATGCCTGTTGAGGTTCTTTTCTCTCTTATGCTGGTTAGTCTGACCGGGTTCAAAAGTATCAATATGTTCATCACTAAGTGTACAAACCCTCCTCTCCTCTATGAAAGGGGTGCTGATATCCTACGAGCTGTGGTTTGCGTCCTGGATTTCATTCGACTGACTTTGTAAGAAGTACTGATCAATGACAGAATAGACAGAATATCAAACAAAAAATCCAGAAAAACACATTATATAAAGGTTGTAAATTGATTAGCATTTGATCGAGTGAAATAAGTACTTGATCCCCTACCAACCAGAGAGAATTCTACCTCCCACAGATTGGTCATGTGGAACACAAATTAGTCCTGTCAATTTAGGAAAATACTCCTGATGTCCTAATCTCAGTGGTCACCTGTCCACAGAATCTGTATCTTCCATTCCAACCTCTCCACCACCAATGGCAATATCAAAGAGCTGTCAAATGTCAGGGACCAGATTGTAGACCTGCACAAGGCTGTAATGGGCTACAAGACCATCAGCAAGAAACTCGGTGAGAAGGAGACTTTTGTTGGTGTGATTATTCAGAAAAAGAAGAGATACCAATGAAAAGGCAATCGCCCTCAGTTGGTAGCTCCATGCAAGATCGTGCCTCGTGGGGTTAAGATGATCATGAGAAAGGTGAGGGATCAGCACACAACTACACAGGAGGAGCTTGTTAATGATCTCAAGGCAGTTGCGACCACAGTCACCAAGCAAATCATTGGTAACACACTATACCGCAATGGATTGAAATCCTGCAGCACTCGCAAGGTCCTCCTGCTCCAGAAGGCACATGTAGAAGCCCGTATGAAGTTTGCCAATAAACATCTAATGATTCAGAGAAGGCTTGGAAGGAAGTGCTGTGGTCAGATGAGACAAAAGTTGCGCTCTTTGGCATCAACTCATTTGATTAGAGGAAGATAAATGCTACCAATGACCCCAAGAAAACCATCAGTCAAGCACCGAGGTGGAAACATTATGTTCAGGGGCTGTTTCTCTGCTAAGGGTATAGGACAACTTTACTGTATTGAGGGGCAGATGGACGGGCCAATTTACCATCAAATCTTGGACGAGAACCTCCTTCCTTCAGCCAGAACACTGAAGATGGTCGTGGATGGGTCTTTCAACAATGACCCACAACATACCGCCAAGGCAACAAAGGAGTGGCTCAAGAAGAAGCACATTAAGGTCTTGGAGTGGCCTAACCAGTCTCCAGACTGTAATCCTATAGGAAATCTGTGGAGGGAGCTGAAACATTGAGTTGCCAAGCAACAAAGAAACCTGAAGGATTTTGAGAGTATCTGTAAAGAGGAGTGGACCAAAATCCCTCCTGAGATCTGTGCAAACCTGGTGACCAATTATAAGAAACATCTTACCTCTGTGCTTGCCAACAAAGGTTTTTCCACCAAGTACTAAGGTATGTTTTGCTTGGGGATCAAATACTTATTTCACTCGATCAAATGCTAATCAATTTACAACCTTTATATAATGTGTTTTTCTGGATTTCTTTTTGGTTGATATGAAGAGTTCAGATGCAAAAGCCTCTAAGTGCCATTTGAAATTTTCTTCTAGAATGATCATTTTTATCAAGCTTGTATATTTAAGTTCAGTGATTTCACTTAAATGGCAATGATAATTACCTATTAATTGTTATTTAAGTGAAATTACTGAACTTAAATATACAAGTTTGATAAAAATCATCATTAAAGAAGAAAATTTCAAATGGCATTTAGAGGCTTTTGCATCTGAACTCTTCATATGTTATCCTTAATGTTTTTTTTTTTTTTTTTGAAAGTGGGCGAACTTAAAAATTCAGTAGGGGATCAAATAATTATTTCCCCCACTATAAATCTTGGGGTAAGTATTACCTTAGTTTATATTGCCTACAGTACTTCTACCTGCTGTGCCTATAGGTCAGTATTTAAGTAGTGTGCCATTTATAAATAGGCTCACTTTTGAGATGGACAATTTCAGCCAGGCTGCTGTTTCACATTTATTTCATTTAAATCGAGTGCTACTTTGAGCTAATGTAAATATGAGCTGACTTTTCACTATCAAAGAAGTTAGACCGAACACTTACATAAAAAGTATAACAGTTGAGAAAACAATGAAACAGCAATGCAACACAACAGGCTAAGTAAAATATAATGATTATATAGGCTAATATAGTGCATATATTTAGTGAAAGATTTAATTTTTCTAGCTGACTAACAAGCTGTTGACACTTGCCTGAGGTAAATGTAAGGCTACATTGGATATTGTTAATTACAAGCTGTTTTACTGTCTTTTCGCAGTTGAGACACTGATTGAGCGATTACACAAAATGTAATACGTTTCAGTATGTTGTACTGTAACTTTCAACATATCATCAGATTTTCATTCACGTTTATTAGGAATATGAGAGATGATCGTGTGCTTATATATATTGATCTGTCATGCCACATTAAAGAGTGTCAAAACAGCATTTTTTGGTTTGAATTTTGTGATAAAATGGATATAAGTTGAAAAATGACACTTTTCTTATCGGAAGTAATGAAACGTGGAGCTCATTGTGATTATTGGTGGTTCGGCTACAATGCTTTATTCGTCTTGTACACATAAAACACGAAAATTCACAAATTTATCACGTGTTTACAAATACATACTGTTACACAACTAATTACCGTTTAATAAAATGTCAAGGAAGAAAAATTTGTTTTGTGACATAAGGTTAAGTGAGGTCAACCTCAGCAATGTGCCAGGGCAGGGCGGGGCGCGTTTGGTACGCCATGAGAGTATCAGCAAACGTACCGTGGGGGGTGTATCGCGTTTTTTCAGTTCTGTTCGAATATCCTTACACTCCCGAATCTTACTGACTTTTTTATTTTGTATGGTAGAGTGTTTTATTATTTTTAATTTTTTTTAACCCTTTTAAACTGGCTTTGTCGTTGCCGACACATACCAGCAAGCTGTGTTCATTTTACCATAACTCTTAAACTGTTTGCCCTATCAAAACAATTCAAATTGCCCCTGACTGTAGATAACGTGTTTTTCAGCGCAAATGACAGCAGCTTTCTGGCAGAGCGGGAAGGAAGGATTTGAACAGAGAGATACGAAGCGCGGTAGGTTAGAGTGTTGTGGATTGCATAAAATAATAAAAGAAATGAACAAAAACATGGTGAATGAAGTTGAAGACAGCAGAAGAGGTGATTGGGATGATTTTAGATGAAACTTGGGAGGCAGATGGCCGTTACTCTTTCACGCATCTTAGCATGTGGCGTGTGCATATGTATGTCACAAAAAGACTTGTATATATGTATTATAGTTCATTTTTCAACTTTAAAGTGTTAGTTTCTTTTGTTTGTGATTTTATAAATAAAAATCAGTAAATTAAATATGCATTGTTTTTTTTGTTTTTTTGTCTATTCAAATTATATTTTCAAACTCACCACACGATGAAAAGGACCTATTTTATAGCTTAAATCTGACATTCATTTTGATACTATAAACCTAATACTTTAAAACTGATTCTATAATTATTAGGGAAGTATATAGGGAAGTATGAGTATGACTCAAGTCATGCAATAAGCACTGAGATCTATTTAAAGCTGCTTTGTAAACACTATAAATATCAGATTTGTAAAGGTCTTTGATCTCTAAAGAGTTGCGTGACTTGTCCTTTTCCATATGGGCACATTACTGAATCACGAAGTAGCCCATGTCTCTTTGTGTTTCATTGCTCCTGCTGGTGTGATGAGGAAACTGGCAGATTTGGCAAGAGGAAGTCCTGCAAGCTGTTTCCTGTCTGCTCTGATGACCATTCAGGCCACAGTGTGAGTAAGAAGTGGCACTGTTATTGTGTAAGAGAGATGACATCTCCTTTGGAGGATCTCTAGGTTGTAATTTAGATGGTCTGCAATAACATTCAATTTCCTGATGAGGAATACCACTTTTTCTTCAAAAATCAACAATTAATATAATTCTATTACTTTTAGTTGCTTTATAATGGTTAGATTATACATATTGTAATTTTAATTTGTATTACTTACTCGTATTTTAATTTCTTTCTGCATGGTCTATATTATTTTATTGACATGTATGTTCAGCTGTATAGTTAAAAATACATTAAATTTCATCGATTCAAGTATTTTTCAAGTATTTTAACAGAATTTTTTTTTAAGTAGTAACGGAAATACTATCACAAACACATACCATTCTTGATAACAGAGGTCTGAGTCATGTGCCCGCCATTGGGCATGCTGATGTGGGGCATCTGGAGTTTTGGGGAAGACAGTAATGTGGGGGTGCCCACAGGGGAGTAATTGAAGAGGGTTGAGCCATAACTCTGTCTACGCCCTTCCCGACGATTGCTGTCGATAGCTGCCTGAAGTTCCCCGGGAGAGCTCAGTCCCCGCTTTTCACATTCATAAGGATAGAGGTACTTCATATACCTGTAGAGAACAAAAGACGGAACATCAAATGCATTCTGTGATGTACAACCTAATCACAATGACATTACAGCTAATAAACTGTAGGGGTGGGAGAAACAAAAAATGTATTCTCCGATGCATTGCGATTTTCTCTTAATCGATTCAGAGAATTTAACCGCAGATGGCACAGATTCCGATCAGGGACTGGAATCAAACGTTTTTCCACGATTGGCCTGGACCAGTGACCGGCCGGTCAGTCTCACGTCTTTACGATTCTGAGTCATTTTGGTCCATTTTGTTGCCAGCGAAACTCTCTTCTCGCTCTCTTCTCTCCGACGGCGAAGTGACATAGACACACACCTCCTCTTACTCACTTGCTCCGATTAAAAAGTGCATGTATTACGCATAATTTTACAAATACCTGCAAGTTTCGCACTCTAATCTATACAAGTATCTCAGTCTTTAAGCAGTTTGTTAGTCACAACCAATGAGTGGCGTACTGCGATTTAATGGTCAAAAATACACCCAAAATTATGTCAAAATGCCCATTTTTGGAAGTATTCAGTTAAACACGGTCAGTTTTGAAACATAATTAGTTGAGAAAGATAACGCATGTTGTGTAACGGTAAATTGGATCCGTGCAAAAACTCGGACAAAAAGTGACAGCAGCTTAATATTCCTGCTGCTGTCTGTCTGTGAAAATCGGAATCTGCAAAAATCGGTCTTGGAAGGTTATAGTTACGGAACAGAACCCATCTTACACTTATGCATGTTCACCCAGATATCATTCAAAAACTTAATATAGAGGTCTTTATTAAAGAATTAATCTACATTAGTCCTAAGCACCAAACAACATTTGAGTATCAAAAGGTAAGATGCAGGTTTTTATGCTGCCGCCGAGTAGTGAAATATACAGTGTTTTTAACATTTATTTAATCTCATTTAACTCTGTCCTCATTTATTTGTATGTTCATCTGTAAGTGTTACACACAGGTGTAATAGCAGAGTAACCAAAAATGTAGTTCATCACAATAACGTTATGTTCCACTAACAGCTGGAAGAAACAGAAAACTTTTGGGTAACTCTTTACTTGAAGGGGTGTACATAAGACTGACATGACACCTTCATAACCATGACACGACATCTGTCTTGAATATGAAGTAGGGTTTATGCATGTTTATGACAAGTGTCTTTCACTCAATAATGACATTTGCAATCCAAGTTTCTCGTTCATCTTTAATATTATGCATTTTATGTACTGATTCCATTTATATTTAGACTTTTCCTTCCAAAATGTTTGTTTGTAACGACAAGAAAACGTATTTGTTGTCTAACATAGAGTAACTTCTGTTAATGTCACTCACAAACATTACTAGGCAACCAGTAGTGGGAAGGCCCTGACCAGCGCAGCCACTGGCGACCTGCAGTGACAAAGTCGCTTATAGTGTGAACGGGGCTTAAATTGAGTCAATTAATTCAAATGTAAACTTGGGGAAAAGTTGAATTCTCTAAAATGACTACTTTTATTTAACAAGGATACATGTGTGATGCTGTTCTTTTTTTTAAATCAGAAAAAAGTGTAAAGTTTTCTTACAAAAATATTAAGCCGCATAATAAATTTACTATAGACTAATCCGACGAGCGTTCTGTGTAGGCTGCCATCTTGTGGCGACGCCATTACTGAGCTGTTACACCGGCATAGACATATGCACCGGTATGTAAACAAACCTCGGTGAAAACGCGAAAGCACCCTCGATGACAGCTCAAGCCAGGCAGAATGACTTGTTGGGTTGATGATGTTAGACAGTGGCCTCCAGTCACAGATGAAGGTACAAATGATCTTACAGATTATTTATGAAAATAGCTTGGCAAGTTGGCAACTTAGCTGCTAACGTTTGCTCATGACGTTTGCTGAGGAAACTAAAAAAGAACTGTCCATTTGGCAACAATAAATAAATAAATGAATGAAATCAAATAAATAAATTCGTGTTTTCCTTTGTGTCCATTATTTATCTCATTTTCACATTGCAACAGGCAAGGGTAAGGTAACGTTACAGCTAGAAAGTATACATAATATCGACCAATTAGTGTTTTTAAACCATGGAAAGAGGTCAATATAACAGCAGGAGAAAAATGTCACATAACGTTACATTTAGCTCAGGAAAGCCATTTAATGACCATAGCATGTTAATTGAATAGAAAAAATAGCAAGAGAGGAGATTTTGCTGATCACTATATCACATATTTATTATATTTTTTTTTACTTATGTCATTAAATAATTGTTATTATACGCGAATGTACTTTCTTGTACTCGCCCAGGAAATCTTTGTAAACCGTACGGCACCAGACAGGGGCAGTCGACCTGGGGTATTCACAGTGTTTTCTCTTCAAAATTGAAATTTTACTGCCACCATTGAAACAATTTATAACGGAAACTGTTTACCCACTCGACATTATACAAGGGGTAACGGTGCAACGTTAGTGACAGTCGTAAATCGCGGGCTGTTTATTCCAGTGGACGCAAGTTGCAACGAAAACAATAGGAGGCAATGGAGCAACGCTACCCAGCAACAGCTCAGTAATGGCGCCCGCTTACTTCCGGTAGTTTCGCCGGATTCGTCTATATTCAAATAAATGCAGGCTTAGTGAACATACTGTAAGATACTTCTTTCAGAAGCATTAATAAATCTTAAGTTTTTAAGTTTGAGTCACTATCTTACATTTAGTAGTGTGTATCAATATATCATGAAACTCCCAAAATGAATATAATTAAATAAATACATTGTGTTAGTATATATTGTGTGGAAACCATTGGATAAACAAAAAGCAACTTTAGAAGTCAATATATTGTCCACAGCAATCCATTTGCAATCAAGTGTGTCAATGTGTCTTCTTCACACAGGGGTGTGGATTTTTCCACACAGGACACACTCTTGACTTTGGACTCTGACACATTTTTAAACATGGAAAATGTCTTTGGCCACAGTGTTTTGTGTTTTTAGATTCTTCCACCATGAATGCCTGCATTCGAAGTGAAAAAGCGAGCCCTAGTCTGTATTAAAGCCATTCTTACACAGCATTACAGTTTGCTTGATGGATCTCAATTTTGCTGAACAAATGTAGTCTATATTTGTAAAAACCTCTTTCTTACTTTTACCAAACACTGTAAAATACAGACTTCACTCTCTCTATTTTAAAAGCAGATAATTAAATTGGATAAGATAGACAAGAATCAACTGGCAGTTATCAACAAGTTGTTCTTGTCTGAAGTTATCTCACTCACTGTGTTCGGAGGGTGAAAGCCGCGCTGGTGATGGAGGTAGGAAGGTTTAGGCCTTTGGTAATCTCGCGCCATATTTTCTTATTGATGACTTCCACTAAGCCGCCTTTTTCGGTGACAAGCTTGTAGAGAGTGTAGAGATCCAACACCTGCTTGGCCATGATAGGAATCCGATTCACTGGAGTCCCTGCAGGAGCCGGGGAAAAAAGCACAATATCCACAATCAATGCCATTAACTCAAGCTCATTGACGAGCCTCTCGGCCGCTTATAAGGCCAATCAGTCAGGCATAAGTAAAACGTCCGACAGCTTCCCACTCCACTTAGCAAAAATATCACTTTTTGCCTTCAGTCAAAGGTCTGCACTGTTTCACCACCAGTGAAAAGAAAGATTCTGGCTTCCATGACTTTTTATTTGTAGAACATGTGTGTTTATAATAAGAGTAAAATCTCAATTAGTAAAAATGATTTCACACCGTATAATCAGTAGAAAAATCATTTACCATGATCTAATAAGTACCCTACAGCCCTTGGAGATAATAATTTTGACAATAAAGAACAAATGGCTTTAAAAAAAAAGAACAAAAGTTGCCAAACATCTAAACTCTCAGATGTCGATGCTTAAACACTGCTCTCCTTCCAATTGCCAGTTCATTTGCTGAATGAAAAAAAACCCCCCAAAAAACCTTGGTGATAATTTGTGCTCACGATTTAATGTTAGGTTGTAATGTGTGAAGAGGATAAGCCCTTTGTGTGCATCTGAGACCGCCTGACCTCCAGATAATTAACCTGTATTTTGCTGATAGAGTTCTATTGTGCCCATTGGATTTGCCATAATAGCAATCAATACGCAAAGAAATATAGAGCAAACAACAGCAAGCCAAGCCACAGTCTGAAAAGACCAAGGAGAGCAGAGCTATGGTCTATCAAGGTAAAAACACATCAATTAAGACTTGTAATTACGGCTTCATTTTGCCTCTCTGGCATGTGAACTAAGAGACACTATTAAAACTAAAGATTTATCTGCTTTCTCTCTGAGACAATACTGGCATTAGATCTAAAGTAGCACAAATGTCTAAAACAATCGATTGATGTTTCTAACTTCTCCTCAAACTGACCACACAAGTCACTGAAGTAAAAGTAAGTATCAAGGGTCTCGATTTGAAATGAATTAATAAATAATTGTTTAGAGAAGTATCCCTCTAATGATGATCCAACACAATACCAACATTTTTATTGTACAGAAAAAATGATATTAATAGAATATGACATAAAATAATAATTTATTGAAATAATATTATTCTTGACACATAACAGTTTATCTATATCCACTATATCCCTTTATCTGTTGCAAGTGACACTTTGAGCGAATGTATATATACAGTAGTGGCTAAAATTGATGTCATTTGCCTTTATTCAAACATATTAAAATGTATTTTAAGCTTATTGTATAGTTGTGCTAAGAGTGTAAAATGTACACTCTCTGTTTTCAATTGTTTCATTTGGGATAACACAATGAAACATGCATAATTATGAAAAAAACTGCAAGGCGAGTATGGAGGATCTGTTTGGAGATTGAACATGTGATTTTTAACACAATAACCCCCCCCCCACCACCACCACACACACACACACACAGTAATGGTGGGCAGCGAAGGCATTCCTTCTATACTTGAATCGAAGTCGACGAATGATTCTTCGATTTGGAATGAATGTAGGTAGACATGGAAAAAGCTTGCGTATAAGGGACTTAGATTAACAACTGATTTATATATTATAGATGTGCCAATAGAAAATTTCTCCACTGATACTGATAGCCAAATATTCACAATGATATCTGCTGATACTTTTATGCAGGGTTTCATGATCCTTTAACGGCCGATACTGATTATTAGACGATAAAGCAGTGCATCTCAAGTTCACACACACATGCTTTATTTCATGAAAGAAACACTGAAACCCTTTAATTTAGGGTCCAATGCCCAATTCTCACTATTAACTAGTTGCTTATTAGCTAAGCTTGCATATGACGAGGATATTGTCTGTTTATTAGTACTTACAAAGCACATACTTATCTTGCATGACCATATTCTTTATCCCTTAATCCTACCAATACCTAAACTTAACAACTATCTTTTATAACTATTAATAAGCAGTAATTAGGAGTTTGAGGCAAAAGTCGTAATTAATAGTGAAAAATGGACGCTAAACTAAAGTATGACCCATTTTTATTCTATGCATTTTTTGCATAGTAGAGTAAAACCCAGATCTCATGATAAGCTGTAGTTTAGTGTGTTCTTCATACCAATTTAACATACGCCTTATATTTTGATGGTCTAATTGAACTATAGTAGGGTAAAGGCAAATATTGTACAAGTATCCCTTTCGGTCATCACTTTTGGCTGAAGTTAAAACACAATAATGCACAAATAATTATTTATTCCCATGCACAAAAGGCCAAACGAAATGAGGCTGGAACAATAAATAAAACCTCACTATACAAAAGCCACCTTTGGGCTGAATCTAAACCTGGATAAGCGTCTTTAAAAGAAGATTTACGAGCGCTCGATTTCCGAGGTGATGTATTCAGCTCCTCTGGTCCCCTGAATAAGATGCAGTGAATAAAGGCCAGTACAAGCTTTTGTCATCCCTAACAATTTGATCAGCTCATGCATCATTATGACAATGAGTGATTATGGAGTGCAGAGAAACACGTTTTGCCGAGCTCACATAGCTGCCTACTGTTAATTGCTCACTGGCTAAAAAGGTTTAATTGAAAATGTGCTGAAGGGAATAAGCCAGTGTTGGGGCCAATCATCTATGTGGCTGCCTTCATCAGCAGTCTGTGTTTTTTCATCATTCACTTCAGCCAGATAATGGAAGGACAACGTGTCTGCGATTGCGTGCTCTTCCGAAGCATGAAATGAAGGGCTAATTTGTAAACAATGCTAGAAAAAATCTTTATCCATCTGTATAAAACAGGCAAATTGCACTGACCAACAAGCTTGAGTAAGTCCTCTCTGAACAGTAGGTAGCTTTACATTACATTTATTCATTTGGCAGATGCTTTTCTCCAAAGTGACATTTAAGAAACACTTCAAAGGTTTGCAGTGTGTGGGTTCACTACTCACTGCTCCTAATGTGTGATGGGTTAAATGCAGAGGACAAATTATGAGTATGAGTTACCATACTTCACGTCAAGTCATGTCACCGTCACTGTCTACAAAGGAAAAGGGGCCTAAGGGGGCAATTAAAGGTTTGCCTGTATTCTAGTAGTTTAAGTGTGCATGGTTTGCATGAAAAATTGCAAATGTGAAAGCTGTCATGCGGACCCGGGTGCGCACCAGGGTAACGAACCTGAGGCTACCTGAAGGAGGTGGTCTGTGTTCGGTTGCTCTTGAACTGTGCCGCGATTTGCGTGAATGTGAAAGCAACATGGACTCGGGTTTGCACGAGTAACCTGCACTTGCGTTTTACGGGGCTTTTACGCTGGGCTCGTTTGCTGCGGTCCAGCGGCGCACCATTGGTCTTTCACACTCAATTTGATTCTATCGAACCCTGGTGCGTTTGCGTGCATATTACGTGCACAACGCATGATAGAAAACCGAACACGGGTCAACATTGTGTTTTTTATTCATTCGCTGCTATTATGCGCAGTTGAGTGAACAATACAGTCAATGCGGACAACAACGCAGAAGTATAAATTAAAACCAACGCGTAGTCTACAGCGTAGGCTCAGGTGTAGGTCCAACACAAAAGTATAAATCAGCTTTAGTCAATGACGATGTATTTAGTTCAATAAAACACATACTGTATAAGGGAGGATGGTGTTGATAATTTACCTTGGATATATGAGCGAAAGTGAGCCTGCAGTGTATTCGCGTATATACAGTAGAGTGCAATTAGGGCAAATAAATGGCAATCTGGTGTCTGGCAATAAGATTCAGTTTGCAATGCACATACAGTAAAATAAAGTGTCATTTACTCTGCTGCATATCATAACACCAAATTAATAACAAAATATATTGACCATGTTTTGTTTTCTATTATGCGGCGTACATGATTGTAATGACGTAAGATGAACGCAAATGCACCAGGGTTCAATAGAATCAAGTTGAGTCAAGTGTAAAACCAGACTAACACTACGGGGGGCGTCGAGAACCATTGGCCCTAATAAAAGACTTGTTCTTCGAGGCCGCTGATGGCCTTCCATTCTCTTCATTAGTATTTCAGGTAATTATGAAAGTGTCAAATATTGATTTATTCAAAAGAAACTGCTGATGCTGCCCTAAGATGTGATTAATTTATTGTTGCCTCCCTGTGGGAATCATGAATCAAAGTGGGAATTTATCAGTTTACAATGGGCAATAACACTCGCATTGTTCCTATTGCTTAAAGATCAGGGGTCGTAAATGAGCCCATCACTCCAAGTCTATTCCACGATGGATGTATTTATTCTTTAGAAGCCATCAAGGCAACTTAAAAGAAAAGGATACAATTAAGTGATTTACATCAGTTGTTTAAATCTCATTTCTCTTCATATAATGAGACACCCATAGTAGAGCTAGAGTCAAACAAAGAGGGTTTTCATAGCAGCACCATAAAACAACAGTGTGTTTCTGAAAACTTCTGGAATCACATGATAGCTCCATTTTGACAGAGGTATAATTTGCACTATACAGGTCTTAAACAGCTGGTCATAAATACTTCTTCTCTATATAAAGCTCTCTGGGGGAGCAGGGAATATCATCTACATTCTTCCATGAGCGGACGCAAACACAGGACTGTTTGTGTTGAGCTGTGAAATAGAGGCAGCCATTTTGATGTGAAAAAAGATACGGCCATCTCAGTACACACAGGGGCTGGCGACAAACGATTCGTATTTGACAGGTTATGATTGATGATGGCAAGGTCCGGGGGACACTGGGAAGGCCAATGACCTCTGGTCTCAGGCCAGGCCTACAGGGGACAACAGTCCTGGCACGAATTCACTCACAGCGGGGGAGAACCTTTCGTGTATAGGTTTTTAATGTGTTCCGGACACATAGTGAAGCTGAGAAGATTTCAACCAAAGCTTTCATTTTCTTACTATCATCAAGCTGTTACTTGATCCTGTGACTAAACTGATGTGGAACTTCTTTCTGGGAGGGCAATCTTTTGCTTTTTGCAACTACCCAAAATTCTTTCTA